TCTGCTGCTGCTGCTGCCACCGACGCTCTGCTGGCTTACCCCATTCTTTGACCACAGTGCCAGGCACACAGACAGTGTAGGGCTGGCAGAGCTCACAGCCTTCAGGCCCGGGGGAGCTGCAGAAGTGCCCTGGCCGACAGCCACACACCGTGTTCTTCGTGTAGGTACACGCTGCTGCTGTCACCAGGTCGGCCCCTGAGAGAAATCCACACACACAGAGCCACGGCGTTGACACGGGGAAACAGCACCCAAAGCAAAAGACAACATTTAGCCTTGTCCTGATGCACTGCTCAACAGCATCACAACTCTGCATGTGGAAAGAGTTCTGGATCCTACAGACCATGGTGATTGTTACAGCCACTCTGGAGGCTCCCAAGGAAGGGACAGGGTCTGGCACTGGGTGAGGGCTGAGTGCTGGCTGGGGAGGATTCCCTGGGTGATGCTCACAGCCATGGGCTGCCTGGCTCTTGTCAGGGCACAGCAGGCACGGGAGCAGTGTCTGGTCCCCACAGCCACTGTCCACTGAGGTGGGTCACCTCATAGCCACTGCCCGTTGAGGCAGGTGCCCATGGCCACTGGCATCAGTCACCCCATGGCCCCTAAAGCAGAGGGAACCACCCCAAGCTGAGGTGGTGAGCAGGAAGGGCAGGCAGGGCAGGAATCACAGGTAGGGCAGGCAGAGCACGTAGGGCAGGCAGGGCAGGCAGGCCGGTACGTACCCGCAGCACATGTGGGGCAGCACTTGGTGCCATTGGGGTACTCGCCCAGCTCACAGCCCGTGGCATCCGAGCGCTCCAGCTGTGTGACCAGCGCCACGGCGAGGACCTCGGGGCAACACAAGGACCGGGTTATACCTCAAGAACCGGGTTCTGCCTCTGGGCCACCGAGGCTGTTCCCTCATGGCCACCACGAGTGTTCCCTCACAGTCATCGAGGCTGTTCCCTCATGATCACCGAGGCTGTTCCCTCATGGCCAGCACGAGTGTTCCCTCCCAGTCATCGAGGCTGTTCCCTCCAAGTCATCGAGGCTGTTCCCTCATGGCCACCATGGGTGTTCCCTCATGGCCACCGAGGCTGTTCCGTCATGGCCACCGAGGCTGTTCCCTCACGATCACTGAGGCTGTTCCCTCATGGCCACCACAAGTGTTCCCTCCCAGTCATCGAGGCTGTTCCCTCCCGATCACCGAGGCTGTTCCCTCATGGCCACCGAGGCAGTTCCCTCCCGATCACCGAGGCGGTTCCCTCATGGCCACCAAGGCGGTTCCCTCCCAATCACCGAGGCAGTTCCCTCATGGCCCCACTCACCAGCCAAACGCTGCCCTGCACAAGCTGCTGCCGCCATCTCAGAGGCCTCCCCGTGCCCCGCGGCTGCTGCCACATGTGGGACGGGATGGGACGGGCTCCGGTCCCACCTGACGCCCAAGGGAAAGGCACTGACCTGGAGGAAGGGGACGGGAGGGCACGTGTGGCTCCAGTCCCCTCAGGGGTCCCGTAACGGTCACACCACTCCCCGCTTCCCCGGCCGGTACAGCTGGGAAGGCTTTGGCAGGGCCTAGGCCCAAAGGCAGTAAAATACCTCAAATTGCAGCAAACAAACCCTCCAAACCTGGCAAACCCCTCAAACAAACCCCCTGGCAAACAAACCAGCCCCTCAAATCACGGAACAAACCCTCAAATCCTGGCGTACAAACCCTCTTCTTGCCCTGGGGCAGGTTTAGCAAGCCCAAATTCATCGGTATTGGAGAGAAAGGGTTCTCATTAGTAAAACCTTTATTTTAAAAACATAGCGGTCACACAGGATATTAACTTTCTTTACTAAAAAATATATGCTCCGTGCTGTGAACAATTCCCAGCGAAAAATCAAAACTGTGTACAAAATACATTTGAAAAAACTCTGTTATGTATGAGGAATGCTTAAAAGGG